TTACCAATTTTGGTCATAAGCCAAAACGTATATTCCATCAATTCGCTTGAAATTGTATCTTCATGAAATGGAACTAACTCAGAATTTATTTATCTTTGTTTTTATAAATTATATGGTACCTTGGATCTAAATCTATCAATCCATGACTTAAAGATGTCACTACCAACTTTGTTCATTTCCATCAAACCTCTGTAAGACCTTGTGCTAAACACTCAAGCCACGTATTCCTTTCATTATAACGAATTTTATGTAACATGACTATATGTTTTTATTCCGCTATTTAATATACGCTCTACCATGAGTATTTGGTATCAAATTAAACGTCTCTTAATCCTGCAAAATATCATTTAGTTTTGATCTCAGGGTTATAAAAGCTGAACGCATTGTCAATCGTCGAACATTCCAAACTACCATTTTTTGCCTTGTAACCGATCACCCTTATGTTGATTGACAGTAACTTTTTTATATTCTGAAACGTATTTTGTTATAATAATTGACTATTTATCACAAAGACTGCATCGTGTCTATTGTACGTTAGCTGGAATTAATTTATTTTCTAATTTACTATTGGAAAATCGACATTAAGTATGTGTAGCCCTCGAAGGCACCATCATCGACACCATGCTTGAAATCAACAGTGTCGAGAAGCCTCTGCACTATTCATGATAATTCCTCGTTTACTTCTTTGAAATATAAATTACCTTATAAACGGATGGAAAACATTTTCACAATACATTTGAATATAACATATTTAGCTTGTTACGTATTCTTCGACGTAGAGTACTATTTTTCAAAATCATCATCGACTCTACAAGTACGTTGTTTTTGCACTCTGCTTTCAATCAAAATCAGGTTTCAATGTTAAGTAATGGTGTTGACGGTTTGTCTCAATATATATTGATAATATAAAAATACGCTTTATTGATGTTATTCTTTGACCACGTAAAGATTGAGATATTTACGACCATCAACGACTCCACCACATACGACTCCAAATTACTATCCACATATTAAGTAGGTCACAGCTTTAATCGAACACTATATATTTGTTGAATGAACCTACATTCATTAAATGACTATTTTGTTGTATGTGTAGCATTTTACAGTGATACCGAGCTACGGATTTAGAGAATATTGTTCACTGTGACTACAACGTATAGTGATAAGTAAAATTGAATCTATTAAGCAGATCATGTTATTTACTTATGATGCATATTCTGTTTGTCTTGAAATGCTAAGGTAATGTGACACAAGAATTGGGATGATTGAGCAGTTCATAGTCTTATAAAATCACTGACAAATATAGATGCACATTCCCCGATATTTCTTAATTTATAAACGTTTCGTTCAGTGTACCACTAGACGAAATGTATTTCTTGCCATTATTGTAAAACAATAGATATTTCATTGGGATAATCAGTTTTGTGACATTTTATTAATGTGCATAACTTCCCACACTCTCATTAGTATATCTGTCTTACTTATCAGACCTTTCTGATGATATAAGAATATGGCACTCACCAACGCCGAGAAGTGCCGTCGTTCCCTACAGACTACAGTGCAGGAAGATAAAGAAAAAGAAAGATATCAAAGGCTACTTAGAGCAAGAACGTATACACCGAGAAATAACCTGTCTGCTGAAGCTCTTCAACAGATCAGAGGAAAGAACAACAAAGCATCCCGGGAATACAGGGCACGCATACGCCAAGTGTAGGCCTATAGCCTATAGAAACAATCAAAACACGCCAGACTGAAGGGAACGCTCAGAGTCTAAAAGTGAAACTGCCAGGACACAAATGAAAATCCAAGAAATCCCAGAACGCATTATTAAAATATTGAAGATAAGGCGACTGGACTTACACCAGTAAGCTTACCAGGTACCTTTCGAATCAATGCTGTGAGAGGGGTTTCCGATAATATTGTTGAAACGCGAGAATTATCGTGCTATTGTGACGCATGCAGAACAGATACGTCATCCTCACCCTGTGGTTGGCAAAGGAACAACCTTATTACCGTTAGGAAGAACCAGCAGGCAGCTAAGGTGGTCACCGAGCAACCATTTTTAAAACCAAAACGGACCACACAACGAGCACACTCGACACCCAGTACGTCAACTGAGTAAAGCATCGACGCTCTACGACGTTTCCACTCTTTCAACCACATTGAAGCGTCGGCCTTTAGAACCCCATCTACAAGTTCAAAGTCTTCAGAGAGAAGAAGAAAAGGAGAGGCCCGATAAAAAGAACAGACACTGTAAATATTTGCAATGCATGCAGCGTCAACTATTATTCGTATTTACAATCGCATTTCGAATGGATCAGTCCAAGTGCTCTAAATGCCACGACTGGTTTCATGATTCCAGGAAATGTTCTCGTGTAAAGGGGATGCTCATTGGAGAAATATTTACATGCTTTAATTGCAATAAAATACGACCTTAAATGTGTAAATTATGTAAACGTTATTGTTTAAAAACCTAAGCGACCATCAGCGACACTGTTAAATAACACTTAATATCACAAGGAGGAGTGATTGACCTATTCGTAACAATGTTGTATTTTGATGTAAGAATACTTGTGTGTCTAATTTGTACATTCATTTTGTCGATCGACGAATTGACTTGGCATATTATTTAGCTTAGAAAACAAAATCTTGAAATAATTACATTTAGGGAAACTCAAAACAATGTATTTCAATAATTATCTTAATAAAATTCTCTTGTTAAGATAAACAACAACTATTGCAATTTATTTTTGTTCATGTGATTAGATATTTCAAACTTAATACATTAGTTCATCTTTAAACTCAAAATTAATTTTGAAACATGAATCAATGTAAGCCTATGTATGCACCATCATCGACACCAGCAATTTAAGAGTATATTTACGTTTTGATGCACAATCAAGTAATTGTTTAAAGGGTAATAAAAATATTTTGAGAAACGCTTCTTAAACCCCATGGCTAATGGTATATGCATTTATATCTCAATCTAAAATTTCATTTTTTCAACTTTTATATTGATCAAATGTGAAAGAGATTCGTGGCTTGACTGTAAAGTGACGCAGCCATGGGAAGATATCTAACTCCTGACCACTACCTTGTGCCATGTGTTCCATTCCACGCTGCATCTTCTCTACAGCGACGAAATCATCCTCTATTAAGTCCACATTTTCTCCAATAAAAATAAGTATTTTAAGAACTGAGCTAAAGGCATAGAGCATTTGTTTTTATCATTCTTTGTTGTCATGTCTATTTTCTAAAAATCCCCAAAGTGCATACTTTTATTCCGAAAAAAACTAAAGGTTTTCAAAATAATGTATTATTTTTCTATTTTTATTGTTATCACTTTGTTATTTGTAGAATTGAAAGATTTTCCCATTTTCACACTTTGAATCCTTAATAATTTCATTTATAACAAATTATAACTTTTGGAGATTGTATTTGAGACTCAGATCATAAGGAAAGGGTTGGCATGCCAATTGTAAATGCCAATTGTACATGTTGCTTGCAATTTTGGCACCCCTTATGCATCTGATTCTGCATTCTATGCTTAGAAACTGAGTTACACCTCTACCAGATGTTTTAACATAGTCTTTATTTGGAAAGCACGAACTTTATACAACCTTTTTCCAGTCAGGTATGAATCGATCCTTTCTCGCAAAAAATCAATCGACAAAATTGAAATTCTGAAAAAAGCAACTAAAATTTTGTTAATCACGGTGGAAATTTTGATCACGGTTGAATATTTCTTCATTTGATCAAGTAATTATGAGGGGTTGCATATTTTGTGTTACCCTGAATTCTGTTACGCATATTCCGTAAAGAAATATGACATATTCACTTACGTTGTATGACAGATTCACCTGCGGTATATGGCATATACATTAACCAATGAGAACGCGATGCGGAAGTACGCAATTGTCAATTACATCGATTCGACGATCGAATTAAAGTTTTTAAATTATTATGATTATTACTGAATCAACAGGTCAGTGCATTGACTATATGAACTAATAAAATTGAATAACATACACCGGTGGTGCCTGAATTGTTTGATGTAGTTTTAAATATGTGTTACACGCAAAACACACTTCAAGGGAAACATTATTAGACATAATTAAACGAACTTACGTTCGTGAAGCTTATGAGTGACTTTTACAACCAGATCAACAGGTTACAAAGACCAGATAAAAAAACTTAAAAAACACGAGTATTTGATCGCGGTCAATACGTTACTGATACTTTCAGAAGTATCATTTACTAATCACATGTAATAAACTTACTCAGTCACTCCAGTATTCATATTTTAGTATCGAAGCGATAAAAACAATGGTAATCCATTATAGTTTTACATTTAGTGTTGATTCTCTAAACCAATCAAATCAAGGGAATTTTGTATGATGTTAACCGTACGGTAAATGCCATATTCCGCTACGTGTATGTCATATTCATCGAGTGAATATGTCATATTACGCAGGTGAATATGAGGTATTCACTATATCATATTTTAATGCGGAACATGCCATACTCACTTGCGGAATATGTCAGATACCACAGGTGAGTATGTCATATTCACTTGTATCACAAATACCGCACAACCATAAATGTATGCCATACACCGCGTAAAAACTTCAATGCAAAATGTTTAGAAGTATTTTTGACATTGTGATTTAACATTATGTTATTGATATAATGGGATAAACCATGAATCCAGTACGTTATAGGTAGGTACGAAAAATTTTCAATGAACATGCGTGACACATACGGGATTCGCGTGACAAATCCGAACAAATTGCGTTCGGTTTTTTCCGACGTTCGTATTTTTACCGTATCGTAAACATATTTCGAAAAAATTTCTACAGAAATATTTTTGCGTGACAATTGCCAGGTAAAATGCGTATTTTGCGTGACATTTTCTGTCACGCAAAAAAAACGGGCGTGACTTCAAATTCTTCAGCAAATGCGTGACAAATACGCAAATTGCGGGACAGTTGACAGGCCTGTTGAACAGCAAGTTTTCGCATTAGCTTCTGCGATTCGTTGAAATCTTGAAAGGCGATACCTTTATCGCCACCAGGAATTACAAAAGTGAATCGCCAAGATTTTGGTCGTCCTGCAAAATCATCTGACTTTGTCATCATGATCGTTTCATAATCGCTACAAACGACAATTTCTTCTCTGAGTTTGAAGACACTTCCGAATTCCTTCGCCCACTTTTGAATCTGAATATATGGTGTATCTTTGGAGAGTTGTAGCGCATTTCCTAATAAGGGAATGCCTTTTGGTCCAGGTATGTCTACATTCCGCCGTCTGAATAGGAATGCAATTAGAAAAAATATTCCTACAACCAATGAGCCTGTGATTAGTACAACTGCCATCTTGGAACTAGCTATTTAGTATGAGAAGGAAGAAGAAACGTATATGATAAAAAATTATATCTCACGTTTTACTAGTCTGTCTCGGTCAGAGTGCATCGGAAACGATCATACTTCTTATAACATTGTATAACACTACTAATGCGCGTATGACATTTAAAGTTAACACAATCTGGCCTAATATGCTAATCTGACTGTATAAATCTTGCTTTAACTTTATTTATTGTTAAATTCAACATAAAGTACATGGAATTCACGCCTCGTATGTTTTTCTAATTGGACAGATAGTGAAACTTTATTGCCTTTCTAGCAATAATTCAAGCTACCTGTACGAAGATCTACAGGCTCATTTCGGATAAGTCATCTTATACGTTTTATGTTATTGTGTCATAATAACTTTTAATTAACCTTGGCAAAAAGTATTGAAAAATCTAACCCGGCGAGAGGCTGCCATATTAGATTTTCAAAGAACGAGGCTGATTTCACTTGATTACTAACTCAAGTTTTATTAAGAATGGTAACTAACTTTTATATGCCAAATTTCATCCTTCTGAGCTCCATTTTCTCGATCAAACCTTTCTTAAGAACCGTTTAATGAAGGTAAAATGGGTAAAATGAAACAACCTTCAATCCATTTTGTTCCTAACAATGCAATTTTTCCCTAAATTGGAGTAACATCTTTCATTTTTCACATATAGACCACATTTTCGATTTTCACTTAAAAGCATCTTTGACAAGTCTCGCGCATGCGCGATCGAGGCCTGGAAATTAAGAAAGCTACGTATTCCCACAACCAATGAGCCCGTGATTAGTACAACTGGCATCGTTAAACTTGCTATAAGTGTACGAAAATCTGTAAATTATAAAGATCAGTCTCGTTGACCGTGTCTGATTTGGTCAAGGTGCATCGTAAACGATCATACTCCTATCGTGTTGTTTAAAGCTGGACTACGCTCCGAAACGCAATCTTGGGTCATTTCAAAGATTTTTCATTGAATTTGCTTCGATCGGAGCCGCCGATATGATTTTGGAAAGGTTTCTAAATGAAGAACGTGACGTCACTTCCGAATCATAGCATTCAAAATAAGTAGCGTTTATTTACCACATTCATAAAAATATGGTGGTGTTGGGCTAGAATCCTCGCTGAGCACCCAGGAGGCCCGGGTTCGAATCCAGCATTAGCCTTTTTATTTTTTTAACTAAATGATTGTTCTTTGATATTACGCAGAAAAAAACAATTTTTATTTACATAAACTTTATATTAGAGCTTGAAAATGTAAAAACAATATATGTCAACATATTGCGTTTTGGAGCGATGTGCAGGTTTAACAAATACTAACGCCTGTAAATGGGTTTAACAGTTTCGGATAACCATTATCTGACCTATTATGTTGACCTGATTGTGTGGATGGAGAGCTTGATTTAGTTGATGAGTATGATTAATTACAATGAATATTTTTTGATGTCACAAATGTTGAATTTGGAGGACAAGTTTGTTTGCATACTTTCTGTACATTGATATCTCAAAACTGGGTCGAAATACCTTCTGACGGCATAAGGTAATCACTATTATCATATTCCCCACTATCTGATTAATTCAAAAGAAAAATATTGAATTTTAGTGTCAACAGATTTAAAATTCCATTTAATTTCTAAGTTCGATATTCAATTTCAAAATATTTTTTATTCATTAAGTAGGTGGTACACTGTACATGCAGTGAATCCAGTTTATCCAAATACCTCTATCTCTATTCCGAACACATATCAAAGTGAACTTTGCTTGGTCCCAGGTTTATATCTTCCATTGACTAACACGTTTATAAAACCTTGAAATATGAACATCTGCTTAATTCTGGACACTTTAAACCGGTCCAAGGGGTGTTCGGATCAGACAGGTTTTACTGAATATATATGCTTTGATACACTCAGTGTGGCAAGATAACAAGTAAACTATATACTTTACTTGTAACAATAACAACTAAATCCCATCTTGATTTGATGCCCATATCACTAAATTGGATGAATGTTTTGATGACCTACTTTATGGAAACAAATATATAAAACGGTTTATGAACCTTATGATAGCAAAATGCTGAGACTATTTTTTGTCTATAAGTATACATACAGTGTCAAAGAAAATGTGAAAGTATAGTGCTATTACTGCATGAGAATTCAGATTCAGATTTTTAAGAAAGGGGGGCGAGTTGTTTGTAGAATGAATCGGGGGATTTTTTTCATGAATTTCGCTTATGTTTTTCATCCAAAAAACATCAATTCACTTTAAAACATTTTGTTTACTTTAAGATTACACCATGTAATCCAAAAATATATTTCTTGTTTTCAAAGATAATCCATGGATTAACACCCAGGTATTTTTATTTTTCAAACTTCAGAGGGCTGGGAATCAATGATGCTCAACGCTTTTGAATATGATAAATACTGTTTTGAATAGGTTTTACGTATGCCAATAATTTCTCAAATTATGTAAGCTGAATGCATTCCTTAATCCCTAGAATGCCTATCATATAACATTCTTTTGTCTTGGCCACTTAATATATTTTGTTGCTGTCTGATCATCAAATCAAATTGTTGTTATTTAAAGATATGTCAGTCAAATCTGGTGAAACAGCACAACATTAACCTAAATAGCACAAGTACATATTATGTAGCTCTATGTTTACAGGCTCACTTTATATTTGATTAATTGTTGTTATTAGCCATTTCTGTTCAATGGTTCTACTTTCACATAGAAAGGCTTCGTTTGATAGGTGATAGCAATCGTAAAGGTCTTCAGGTCACACGACGGGATATTATCCTTGTCGACAGGGACGAATCTCAATTTGTGCATCATATTTGTGACAAATAGAAAAATTCTGTCCAATGCTATTTTGTCGCCAGGGCATGATCTCTTCCCAATTCCAAAGGGGAATAATCTGCAATTAAAATGAGGGTCGATAATGATATGATAGGTAGCCATATGATATTACAGGGTGCCCCGAAAGTATGCCTCTCCCCTAAGCAGACATCATTTACCAATGTCTTCATAGTATGTGTCATATATCGGTTTAACGCTTATACAAAGTTAAATTGATTTGCCAAGTATCACGGTTCAACTCACCAATCTGAATTTTCAAAATGAAATCTACGATTTCTGTTTTTTTCTTGCTAAAAATGTGGTAATAACTCACGATTTGACATCTGCTAGCTTGTAAGCCTTGCCATCACCATCCAGAAATCTTTCTGGCTTGAAAGTAAGGGGGTCGGTGAAGTAACGGGGGTCATGCTGGGCTCCCCATACATTCGTCCAAATCTGTAATTTTGAATACTCAAAGAATTGGTTATTTGAAACCCATTTTTAAGATGGGTGACTTCACTAAATATGTATACAAGTAGAAATAAGGTATATGTAGAAAGGAAAAACTCAAAACATGATAAACTTGGTCAAACAAGACATCAAACCCGACATCTCTTTACTCCAGCACCACATATACAGCATGATCAAAGACATGAAAAAGCATTGACGGGCGTCTGTTTAATTTCTTTATATTTTTCTAGTATCCATTTCAGCCAAATGTTTGCATTTATGTCTTGATTGACAAGCCAAATTAAAAGAAATGAATAAGCATACGATATTACACAAATTATTGCTACACAAAACACGCTATATGCAAATGAATACCTCTGTATCTTTAGGCAATTTATATTGCCCGAGACTTGTATCACATGTGGTCTTATGGGCAATACATAATGGAACCGGGGACATGAATCGAAAGTTTTCCAATATTACTGCCTCTGTGAACGGCAGTTTTTCACGGTCGGCTAGAGTTGGAAGTTTATCTGCATGGATTGCACCTTGTATCTCCGCAATAATTCTCTCTTGGACATCCGGGTAGTTAAGCATAAGCAGGATGAAACAGTCAAGGTGTGATTTGGTAGTCACAGTACCTAAAACAATATAATTATCACCGATTTTAAAATGATTTTAATAACCAACTATATGCCAGACATTACATTTTGGGTGCTAAGATAAACAGGGGCTGTAGCAAACTAGGCGCGACAGTTTGTTAAACGCGCGGCGCGGGGTAAGGAACAACACAAGGCATTAACATGACAAAATGTCACCACCTAAAACAATTTGGTCAATTTAAAGCAAGTTGGAAAATACCTTTTGACCTTAAGAAGAACTTCTGAGAACATGTAGATGATTTTGAAAAAAAAATTAGTCAATTTGAAGCAAGTTGAAAAAAGACCTTTTTGACCTTGAGAAGGTCATTGAAGGTCAAAGGTCAAATCTAAAGTCAAATCTAAAGTCAGATTTGAATTTCTGAGAACACGTAGATGATTTTGAAATTTTTTTTTAGTCAATTTGAAGCAATTTGAAAACAGACCTTTTTGACCTTTTTTGACCTTGAGAAGGTCATTAAAGGTCAAATGTCAAATCTAAAGTCAGATTTGAATTTCTGAGAACATGTAGATGATTTTGAAAAAAAATTAGTCAATTTGAAGCAAGTTGAAAAAAGACCTTTTTGACCTTTTTTGACCTTGAGAAGGTCATTAAAGGTCAAATGTCAAATCTAAAGTCAGATTTGAATTTCTGAGAACATGTAGATGATTTTGAAAAACAAAATTAGTCAATTTGAAGCAAGTTGAAAAAAGACCTTTTTGACCTTGAGAAGGTCATTGAAGGTCAAATGTCAAATCTAAAGTCAAATCTAAAGTCATATTTGGATTTCTGAGAACATGTAGATGATTTTGAAAAAAAAATTTAGTCAATTTGAAGCAAGATGAAAAAATACCTTTTTGACCTTTTTTGACATTGAGAAGGTCATTGAAGGTCAAATGTCAAATCTAAAGTCAGATTTGAATTTCTGAGAACACGTAGATGATTTTGAAAAAAAATTTTAGTCAATTTGAAGCAAGTTGAAAAAAGACCTTTTTGACCTTTTTTGACTTTGAGAAGGTCATTGAAGGTCAAATGTCAAATCTTAAGTCAAATCTAAAGTCAGATTTGAATTTCTGAGAACACGTAGATGATTTTGAAAATTTTTTTTAGTCAAATTGAAGCAAGTTGAAAACAGACCTTTTTGACCTTTTTTGACCTTGAGAAGGTCATTGAAGGTCAAATGTCAAATCTAAAGTCAGATTTGAATTTCTGAGAACACGTAGATGATTTTGAAAATTTTTTTTAGTCAATTTGAAGCAAGTTGAAAAAAGACCTTTTTGACCTTTTTTGACTTTGAGAAGGTCATTGAAGGTCAAATGTCAGATCTTAAGTCAAATCTTAAGTCAGATTTGAATTTCTGAGAACACGTAGATGATTTTGAAAAAAAAATTTAGTCAATTTGAAGCAAGTTGAAAACAGACCTTTTTGACCTTTTTTGACCTTGAGAAGGTCATTGAAGGTCAAATGTCAAATCTAAAGTCAGATTTGAAGGTCAAATGTCAAATCTAAAGTCAGATTTGAATTTCTGAGAACATGTAGATGATTTTGAAAAAAAATCTAGTCAATGTGAAGCAAGTTGAAAAAAGACCTTTTTGACCTTGAGAAGGTCATTGAAGGTCAAATGTCAAATCTAAAGTCAGATTTGAACTTCTGAGAACATGTAGATGATTTAGAAAAAAATTGAAGTCAGTCTAAACAGTATTTGTTAAGTTATAGGAAGTTGTAAGAAATTGTTACAGACGCCGGACGCCAACCTCCAACCGCCGGACGCCAACCTCCAACCGCCGGACGCCAACCGCCGTCGCAAAAAAACGGAGACCATAACAATATGTCACCACTTTTGGTGGTGACATAACAATGGTTCAAATGAAATTAGAGCAAATTGATGGTTTTATCGTTTCAGAAAAGATCTGGTCTAGATTCTAACTATTTTTGAATGTAAATGTATGTTACAATATCCCTGACATTGAACATAATTAGTAAATGTCATAGTTAAATATACAAAAGCTCCGAATGTAGTATTGCGTAATACCTTACCGTTACCGAGCGTTATATACCGTATACTACATTCGGAGTTTGTGTAGACTATGAGAATCACTGTCAAATTCACTGTCTAGGATGTTGTTACAGATGTTTACATAAATACATTTTTAGAAACTAGACCAGATTTTTCTGAAACGATGAAAACATCGGTTTGCTCAAATTCCATCACCCTCGTGTTTTAGCTTACCCTGGGCGTTCAACTGTCACCATTAAGTTGGTTCAGCTCCTGTGGAGAAGAGGGAAAATATCGGATGACAACGACATATTGACCTCATTTAAACGATACTTCTGGGTTATTTGATTGACTATATATCGATATGAACCAAATCTGCGGCGTGAGACGGGACGGACGAGGGACTGAGATGCTTTGAAACTATAAGGAACATTTCACCTGCTACGATGGTTTCAAATAATGCACCATTGACATTGTCCATATCTATAATCCCATCATCGTAAGCTGTCAGCAATACGCCCAATAAAGTTGATATGCGTTTGGTATTCTTTGAGCTTGATTCTTCGGACTGGAACACAATAATGTAAATATATCACGTGACATTACGTGTTTTTCAGGCGTCGTGTCATGTGATCTTGATTTCTCTTGGTTACGATAGAGAAATGTTATCGTACTGATACGATAATTTCAGAAATGGCTATCCTTTTATTGGTAAAATTACGATTTTGTCTCGTGTTGGTCATACGTCCAAAAATAGGGATATTCCATCAATTCGCCTGATATTCATGAAATGAAACAAACCCAGAACTCTTCATCTTATATTTGCATATCGTACCTTAGATCTAAATCTCTCAATCCAAGACTCGAAGAGGTCACTACCAGTTTTGTTCATTTCCATTAAAACTCTGTAAGACTTCGTGCCAAAGTGACGCAGCCATGGGAAGATATCCAGCTCCTGACCACTCCCTTGTGCCATGTGTTCAAATCCACATTGTAGTTTATCTACAGCGACGAAGTCATCCTCTATGAAGTCGACATTATCTCCCAGTATCTGTCATATATAATAAATAAGTACTTTTGTGGAGGCCCAATGCTTTTGGCTACAGAACTATTCTGACTCTTGCCAAAGTATTCTGTTCTGACCCAAGTATTCCGAGTTCACTAATTTTGAATACACTCAAAAGATGTCTACGTTAGAATCGGAAAATTGATAAAAAAAATAACGTCCAATCACGTGCCAAAGTGACGTAAATTCATAAATTTTAGGAAAATTAATTTCAAATTGACAAGTCCCCCTAACCTTATAATGCTACAAAATGCGTTAGAACTTTTGTTCTCGGTAGAAAGGAAAATTGCTATTTGAAAATAATATGTACTTAATGTGTAATTTGGGTATTTAGGAATGTACAATAAAAATTGCTTATTTCCACATGAGAATATTAGATTGCAGAAAACGTGTATTGACTTAACAAGAGAATATGCACCTTTGACTTAACATTGTGTATCATCATATCACTTCGACCTTGATATTATCTTTTTAAATATACCCTGATTAACCCTAAGGTTAATTTACCCTGATAGGTTAATTTATCAGTGATAAAATTAATTCCAAATGCGCATTACACGGAGGTTGACCCTCTCAGCTTTTCAATGTCGTATTGGAAAGTGCAGAAGAGGTAATTTAAAAATCATCATAATTTGCTTAAGTATAAGTGGGGCGATATTTAACGCTGCTAACTAAGTATAAATATGATATGAACAATTATAGTTTTTTCTGGCTCAATCGAGAAATACTTACACCTTTATGGGGAACATAAACCGAGAAGGCCAGGCGACGAATATCCCCCTGTTCTAAATGTGACCAGAAAATGAAGGTTTGAAGTATGCCAAAAGTTAAAATTGATTAAATGCCCTTATTTGAATAAACTTACCAAATTCATAATGTATTTCGTGATAGAGCGATCTAAGGGTGCGATTGGATTAAACGCTTCACCATTGTGTGACAAAAACTCGGCAATGCATTCTTTAATCGATTCCATAGATATATCAACCATACGATCAGATGCTTCTCCATATTGTTTGAGTCCTTGGACAGCAAGTTTTCGCATCAGCATGAGCGATTCATTGAAGTCTTGAAAGACGATACCTTTATCGCCACCAGTGACTGCAAAAGTGAATCGCCAAGATTTTGGTCGTCCTGCAAAATCATCTGACTTAGTCATCATGATCGTTTCATAATCGCTACAAACGACAACTTCTTCTCAGAAAAGGTGGAGTTTGAAGACATTTCCGAATTCCTTCGCCCATTCTTGAATCTGAATATATGGTAGGTCTTTGGAGAGTTGTAGCGCATTTCCTATTAAAGGAATGCCCTTTGGTCCAGGTATGTCTATCTTCCGCCATCTAAATAGGAATGCAATTAGAAACAATATTCCTACAAACAATGAACCCATATAAGTAAAACTGCCATCTTGGAATTATCTAGTGTGTATGTATGTATGTATATATTTATTGCCCTTTATATAAAGGAGATACATGTATACAATTTATGTTAAATTGAAAATAATCACTATTTACAAACAAACAATGTCGTTGCTTTTTAACTGACGACGACGCCTAGCTACCGCGTAGACGCACGCCGCCGGCCAAGATTGGCCTAGCACCTAATTGTAATGCAATTATAAAAAAGTAACTATATTTTACAAACGCTCATTGCTTTGTTGTTTGTTTTGGGTTTTTTAAACCGACAACGACGCCTAGCTACCGCGTAGACGAAACCCCGTAGGCCTAAATAGATCTAGTGTGAGAAGGAAGAACAAACGTAAATTGTTTTATCCCATACTTGGACGTGTTACGGGTACATAAAGCCGGTTTGTAAAAACTTATATTTTCATCAGCGGGCAGATATAGCTTTACGTCCCGCTCCGAGCGGGCAGATATAGTATATCTGCCCGCTACGTCATAATCGCCGCTCGCATATTTGTTCATAATTTGTAACGTTCGCGTAACTACAATGGAGAAAACACAAACAATCGGGATCTGTTTGATGGTTTAATAAAAAGGGAAAGAGCATCCAATTAATCAATCAAAAATTCGAGAAAATAAATGTGGGAATATTTGAGAGAACAGGAAAATCCGCCCACGGCCAAGAAAACAAAACTGGACATGAATATTCTAAAATATTTCCACGATTGAACAATGTGAACCAGATGACCAAGATTGGTATGGGATAAACATATTATCCTATAGTCGGTTCAGGATATTGGGATTATCCCTTGGCCAATATAATATATTTTCCCTCGGGACCTGCGGCCCTCGGGCAAATATATTATATTGGCCTCGGGATAATCCCAATATCCTGAACCTCATATAGGATAATCTCTATAAACTCTCACGTTCTACCAGTCTGTCTCGGTCAGAGTGCATCGGAAACGATCATACTTCTTATTACATTGTATAACACTTCTAATACGCGTATAACATTTTAAGTTAACACAATCGGACCTAATATGCTAGTCTGACAGTATAAATCATGCTTAAACTTCATTTATTTTTACATTCCACAGAATACATGGAATTATTTTATGTTTTTAATGGGACAAATGGAGAAACTATATGATCTTGCAAGTATTGAAAAATCCGACCCGGAAAGAGGCTGCCATATTGGATTTTCAATCAATCCTCATACCCCGCGGGTTTGACTGTCACGCTTAATTGTATGACATGTATAAATTGAATGTTAACAATCCAAATGCTAGTTAGGAAGTTTATGGTACCCCCGGATTTACTTTCGTGTTTCCTAAAACAGTTGTCTTTTGAAAGACTTTGAAGTGGCGACTTCAACTCAATAGACTTATTTGATGGATATGCTGACTGAGAATACTTTCTTTTCCGACGTGGTTAGGCTTTGGGGGTTGGTAACCCGATTGACTTTTGGGAGAAGTAACAATGTCATAATGAACGCATCCTTGGCCCAAGAGTAATTCATTGCATTACATGAGCTGGTATGAAAGCAGTGAAGGACCGATCTTGTGGAAGGATGGGTGAACGTCGTAACTTCGTAACGTCGTATTTTTTCAAAGGAAAAATAATTTCTCGAAATTCTATTATTATTTTATCATTTATTTGGGAAATTGGAGTGTCTGGATGATATATAAAAATGTATTGTTATTATTATCAATATTCCAAGATGATAGGGCTAAAATTATAGAAAGTATGATGGTTTTCGTGAAAAATTAACATTTTTTCAAGAAATTGTCGTGCTTTCTAGAAGGTTTGAGAAGTTTTAGACCGTGTTCAGACAAAATGTTGAGACGCAGTGATACAAGAGGTATATCTGCATGGTATGTTCAATGTTTCCACGAAAGGGAAAGGACCATATTCTGTCAAAGCGTCGAACTAAATGAGTACTTACAAATCTCCCGCCGAAAATATTGGGTATAACGTCGGGTAGACTGTAAATCTATAGCTAGTAAATCTTGTAAAACTTGTAAATCTTGTAAATCTAGTAAATCTTGTAAAATCTTGTAATATCTTGTAAAGTTTTAAGGGACCATTCACTTGATATCAATGTCAGTCTTTATGAGGAGTATTGTGATCTAGTTCTTTTAAGAGCAACGCATTATTATCCAAACGAACGAAGTTCAGTAGGGTAGAGTGAAACCCCCCGCCTGTCAGTCCGTCCATCCATCCATCCGGAAAAACACAGAATAAATAATATATCTCACCAAAGAGTTAGATAAAGTTAGACTGACGAATCAGAATGACTTATAGCATATCAAGAAGTAAGGTCATTTCCCACAAAATTATAAAGGGTGCATGTAGATCGCAAAGATGAGTACCCAAACCGTGCTATCACATACCTGTTATAAAATGCCTTATCTGCATTAAAATTCAAAGTCATTCCTTTCATCAAATAATCAATAAACAAAATTTTACCAAAATTGTGATATATAATAACAAAAAATAATGTTTAAGGTGCTGATATAATATGGCTTTAAACTAATAATTACAATTAAGGAAAAAATTGTTGATTAAATACATAGCAATTTTTTAATAAAGGGAATTCAATGCAATGAAATGGAGATACACATCTAAAATGCCATTACTTGAGACTTACCCTTTATCCTACAGTTCAAAACCATTTTATCATCTTCTTCCAAAAATATTTACATAAATATCTGATTTTCAAACAATTTCAAAATTATCTGGTTCATGAGAGTTAACTTTAGGCTGGGTAAGGAATACATTATAATATAAATATAAATTGAAAGCATTATATTATTATAAATCGCCCTATTTTAATGAATTTTGAGAACCTTTCGTCCTCCACTTTTCCACATACAACAGAAAACACATACGTTTGCGAACAAAATCAACTATTTATTAATAAACTAGAGTTTATGAGCAAAATAATCATGTATGATATATTAAAAATTGTTTAATGCACACCTGAAAAGTCAAGAGTAACAAAAAATGAGCAAAA